TTTTGCCGTATTGTCATCAACTCCAAACCCAAATGTCTTGTTTTTGTTGTTTTGTATCAAAAACTACTTCTGATCAACTGGATAAAAGGATGCAACAGAAGGCTTGTTGGTTTTTCTGTTTTCTCTGAAGTCCATGAAACCTTTACCTCAATGTTGCATGAGCGATAAGGTAAAAACACACAGAGAAAGTGCCTCTGGGATACGTATTTTTCACACATGTCTTGAATCACTATTATTGATCTGTTGCTATTTTTAATGAATGACAATTTTTAAATATTAAAAATATAGAATGATAATTTAAATAGCCTTAAGGGGTCATACAGATTGCTCTACTTTTATGGACAGGTAGCAAGTGAGAAAATAGAAGAGTCTTACTATACATTTGGTAAGAATCATGACTTGCAGTCTTTGGAGAAAAGCCGTGTCACACACAACAGGAGTAACTTAAGCATTTATTAAATTTGTACTTTTTGGTGTTACATTGTTTTGGCACACGTGTTCTTTATTGCATCTCTATTCATCTTACGTGTGGCAACTGATGCAGCCTTGGTAGTGTTCTGAGAAGGGTGATAAATTTGGTATGGAGGAGAGAGAACCTGCTGATCTGAAGCTTCGCAGTTTCCTGGATCTTCTCTGGCCGCTAAGACCGCAACTGTAAAATCAAAGGATGTGCTTCTGATGATACCTTTAGGCAGATGACAAAAAATCAGTTACAGAGTTTTATTTTCAAAGGGTTTCATGAGAGAAGAGATGGAATTCAAAATGATTCAGGCTTTCTTCCAGAGATGAGAGGCTGGAGATGAGCTCTCAGCTCAATCCTGAAAGAAAAATGATAAGCCTCAAAAACTGGAAGAAGGGGAAGAGGGTATTTCCAGGCTGAGAAAATGAGATGCGGAAGTATTATGGCATTAAGTAACATCAGTAATGTGACATTTAGGGAACTATCTGGGGTACGATGGCATAAGGTAAAAGTGGGAAGGAGAAGAGGCTGTGAAGTGCCTCATACATTAGGCTAAAAAGTTGAGCCCATACCCTTAAAAACGCACAGATGTATCTATCACAAGATTATCTTAGCCAAGGATCACTTCCATTCAGGAAGGCAACTTGATAATTTCCCCCATCTTTGAAAATGGACATATTTCTGAAACCAGTAATAATTCAGAAGTAAATTTAGCCTAAAAATTAAATAAATGTGCCCACTTTACAGCAGAAATCAAGAGCCGTGCACCTTACACAGAGAGAAAGCATCCCTCTGAACTCAGTATTCATGTTCACTTGGAGTCTACTCCACTAAAGAGACCTTTCATTTGTCTTGTCTGGCCAAAACTCCAGAACTTCATCTTTTGTGCTTCAGTGGAAGGAAGGAAAATCACATTGTCAAACTGTTTTTCTTCTTAGCCTTTTAGATTTTAATTAACACTGTTAACTTCTTTTTTTAATATTTATTTATTTATTATGTATACAATATTGTCTGTGTGTATGCCTACAGGCCAGAAGAGGGCACCAGACCTCATTACAGATGGCTGTGAGCCACCATGTGGTTGCTGGGAATTGAACTCAGGACCTTTGGAAGAACAGGCAATGCTCTTAACCACTGAGCCATCTCTCCAGCCCCACTGTTAACTTCTTTATCAAGGGTGGATAAACAGTTGAAGGTATAATGTAAGGTTGGGACAGATAATACAGGGTTAAGTCAGGCATGTTAGTGCATACCTCAGGTGGATTACAAGATCAAAGTCAGCCTCAAACAAAACAAACACACTAAGAAAATGCAATTATTTATGTAGTATTTGATAAATATACATGAAGTTAAGTGTAGGCAGTAGGTTTTCCCATTTTAATTCTGCATAAATCAAGTTCCTATGATTCTTGGGCTAACAAATGCTTGATAGAACCTTTGGTGCTGATAGAACCAAGCAGTGGCTTGCAGGGAAAGAAATCCCTTTTCATCGTAAGGTTTATCACAGCCGTTATTCACAGCTACTTTACAGATAATACTCTATTGATGCTGAAAGTCTCAGTATCTTAGGTAAAAGCCTAGGGGACCTGAAGTGTATGGGTAATCATGGCTTCCTGTTAGTTCTCCTCTGCTGTTTTCCTACCCCCAATATCCTAGCTCCTCCAAGTCCACTCATAATTCACAACTATATACTCTTTAACAAACCTAGGCAAAAAATAATAATAATTGACTTTTTGATACTTTCAAAATTTCCAGGTCAAGTGAAAAATAAATTTGTATGCTGTAGTGTTTTGTTTTTGGTTTTTTGGGGTGGGGGGGTTGAAACAGTTTCTTTGTAACAGGATTACAAGATCAAGGCCAGATCTGGCTGTCCTGGATCTCACTTTTGTAGACCTCAGACTCAAGAGAGGCACCTGCCTCTGCCCCCAGTCCTGGGATGAAGGCGTGTCCCACCGCCTGGCTGCTGTAGTGGTTTTATGAGATTGTGCCACATAGGCTCCGGTGTTTGAATGCCTGGCTCCCATTAGTAGCACCTTTTGCATAGGTTTGGGATGTGTGGACTTAATGGAGGAAATACACCAATTAGGGCAGGCTTTGAGGTTTCAAGAACTGCATGCAATTTTCAAGTTTGCTGTCTGTTCCGGCATTGTTAGGTCTCAACTCACTGCTTCAGTCACCATACCCGTCTGCTGTCAGGCTTGCCTGCCGTGATCTCGATGCGCTTCTGTCCCTCTGAAACTGCAAGTCCTTCCCTCTATAAGTTGCCTTGGCCATAATATTTTATTACACCAGTATAAAAGAGACTAATACATATGCTTTTCCCTTTAGTTTATCTTTTGCTATCAGTGAACCTAGAAATGTGAATACTTTGCTATAGCTATGCACTATTTAGTTGGTTTTTTCTGATTAAGAATATTGTGTAACTGTGAAGCTATATGTAATATAAAAAGTGGACTTTTGTTATTATGGAAACATTTATACAAATACCTAAATATTGCCTTATGTAGTTAACATATACACACAAAATTCTACAGAAAAATATTTAGGTTATGCTGGAAAGTAATTTTAAATTCTATATTCAGAATTTAGGCAACATGCATTTTTATAATTCAGTAAGACATGTTAAATTAAGTATCACTATAATAATAAAGAAAGGATAAGAGGGTACCACACTGAGGCAGAGGAAATTGTTTGTGGTTGATAAAGCAATTTATGTAGTTATATTAAGTCTGGAATGCAGAGATAACGATATGCCTAAGAGATGTCATTTAACAAAGTGAATCCAATAGAAGCTGTAAAAATAGAGGTGAGTGGAGAATAAGTGAGGGAACCTAAGATTTAAGATGACATGAGGATCTGTCATCTTTGCCATGCCCTGAGAGAATATAGGAAGAAAATATAAGGCTTCATTCAAAGCTGAGATGGCTACAAGTCACAAAGATCCCAGTAAATCATAGGATATGTTGGGACAACCTAGGAGAGCCATGTCAGATGGCACTGAAGATTTGCTGGTTGTAGCGTGGAAAGTGGCTCTTAAGGAGCAGCATGGAGTGCCCAGAGAAACACTGAACTAACACTGAACCTCCAGGGCAGAGAGAGGAGGAGGAAACCAGAAGAGTAATTGAGAAAAGGAATTCAGTTTCAATAATAGGCCCGGCCAGAGGAACTTCCTGTAAAGCATTTAGTGCTCTAGGAGATTCGAGTCAGCATCCTCTATGATCCTAAGACTTTTCTGCCCTTTCTGGTGGAGTAGTTCAAGGGCAAGACAAATTGCAATAAGTTAAGGGGGGTCAGTGAAGTCAAATCCGTGAGTGTAAGCCATTCTCCTGAAAAGTATGCGTGTAACCTAGAGAACAGTGGCCTCATGACTTGATGGGGACATCGGTACTGTGACATCACCAAGACTGCTTCCTTTCTTGAAGGTGAAAAATACTGCCTCATTAGCAAGTACTCAACTCTACCACTAAGAAAAAGGTAGGTATACTTTTGCTGATGAGATTTGTTCATCTTTCATCGTAATGCTCCATTCATCAAGCCAAGGGAATAAAACAGTTCATCATGGGCTCCGCGTTTCCTACTCCTGGTTCTTTAGTTGTGTTTAGCTGGGTTGACTTCAGGAATGTTAACATATGCCTTTATGGCTGAAAACATGAGACCTGTAAGTTTGGTCCGAAAGTAAGTCAAGTTATGGCTTGAGTATTTCTTCTCTTATCTCACCTTCTAAACTGAAGGAATGCTCTCAAATGGAAATTCTAAGAACAAATTCCATTTGTCGCATAGGTCAGTGTGACCCACTGAGAATTCTTGTGATAGATTAGTTCATAACAAAAGCTTCCTTCTGATACAGTTGGCTTCTCTGGCTACTTTTCATAGCCCAGATGAGGCTGAACTTAAGTGAAGTCACACAGTGTGACTAATGACAAAACAATCGGTGCCAGCACCTGGGGACACAGGCAGAAATCCATCCACTTTGCAAGTGCAGAAAGCAGGGAACGATCCTGAGTTATTTTATTCAAGTCCAGCACTTCAAGTTCTCAAATTTCCCAAGAAGAAGGTGATAGAGGCAACAGGCAACATCTCATCTGCTTTACGAAGAACCCCAAAGGTGAGAGTTCCTCTCATCTCTCCCAGACAACAGACAACATCTGCCCGCCCTTCAGCTGTTTCCTACCCGTAAGGAGGATTCTGGTAGCCACCAGAAAACAAAACCAAAAATGGATTGGTTAAGGAAATACGAAATACTTACTTTCAGAGAACATAGTTTTTGTAATTATGACCTTAATTGAACTTAGTCAGTGGAAATTCTCAAGTGTGTGTGTCTCTGCATAAATGTTCTATATTTTAAACTCGGGGGCTTAGCCAGAATATTGCAGCTCTAACACTAGTCAAATTTCCCTTTAAGGACATTCTGAAGGGAAGTTTTTTTCCTTGTGGTTTTAAGTAGACATTGACAAGGAGTGGTTCTGTCTGAGGAGGAGCCTTGTGTTCGTGCCACAGATTGGGAGGAAAGAGCCTATTTATTCCTCCAAAGTTGAAAAGCTGAAGGGAGGATCCGATAATGCTGATGACCCATTCTGTTCCTTTTGGAGTTGACATGCCTGTGATTAAGAGGCGAATCTGTCACCTATTCTTCCAGACTGTGTAGATCCAAAGAAAAAGCAGCTGAAGAAAAAGTGAGTTTTCTCCCTAATGCATCCTTTATGTTTGTTTATGTGGCATTTTGACTTCTTAAATGTTTTAAGGGTGAGGTACTCAAACTTTCCAGGAAAGATCAACTTTGGCTTGGAGGGTGGGTACATACCGTGAAGCCTTGACAATTAGAGACAATTGGTACCTGATTTCTTATTTCCTGAGTTTTATAGATTTCTCATTTTGATGACACTTATGTAGGCTGATAACTGGAATTGCCTCCTGGGTTTGTAATTGTCTTAAAACAGAAACGTTTTCATTTTTGTCAAAGGGGAAGAGGAGATAGTCCAGATTTTATTCTACTTAATGTATTTGAGTGAATCGCGTTCTCATTGGGGATATTTCATGACTGAATTATTTGTACAGAACACATCTTAAAGTCTTAGCCTTTAAGTGAAGGGGTTAATTGGAAACCTCCTATTTTCTAGAAAAATCTTACTACTCTCTAGAAGCAGGCATAGAGCAATTCCTAACCTGTTTCCAGAAGTGTGAAGTAAAATGCCTCTATCTCCCCACCCTACCCCCAACAAATAAATGATATACTCATCCAAAGTGCTCCTTTTTGCAGTTGAGAATTTATTATTTAGGCATGAAGGACTCAGCTGTCTCCCTCTTTTAGTCATACTCCCTTGAGTACCTGTCACCCATTAGAAGCCAGATTCGGCATGCTAGCTGTTTGGAACCCAGAACTGTGGGATCTCCAAACACTGAGAAAATGTGCAGTTCTTGAACCCACAGTGAAAGGAAATATGTGAGTGAGCCACTTAGGCCAGTATTTCAGATTTACAACACTGCCATGTTAAATCCAAGCAAATTTAGCACAAATACATGTAAACCCCCCAAAATATTTGTAAAAATGTGTGTCAAGATATATGCCTGGAGTCACAAGCCAAGTTGCATAATGACGAAGGTAAAGTCAGATGTCTGTTTTCCATTCGGCAGATTCCCATGTTGACCTTAGCTGAGCGCCAGCTTTCTGTCTAAAGCAATGTCACCCTGGCAAGCATTCTCTCCTTCATAACGTGCTTGCCCGCGGCAGAATTTTAAGTAAAGACTTATTAATTTGAATTAGGCAAGGCTAAAATATTTTCCACTTATTATACTTACCTACTTATTATACTGAAAATAAGTGTTTTGATAGAACATTTTATGGAAGCTTAGATTTTTTTTGATGATTTCCATTATAGGAACCACGTCTATTTAGAACTGAAAATGAAAAACTTCACCTTATAAAAGTTTGAGTTAGCTGTCAGTTAAGTTTGCATTTCATTACTCGTGCAAATAATGTCTGCTGCTTGGGTAAGCACTGATGCCACAGAAGGGCCTTTGAAGAGAAGGATGAGGGCTGGATAAGGGCATTTCTGCAAAAATACCTCAACTCCTCTCAAAATGATCAACCTGAAAGTGTACCTGCCTCTAAGACCACAGTGTGCTCACATGAGCAACAGACCCTTCTGCGAATAACAGTGCACTGAATCTAGTGGCGGGGGTACCCAGGGCAGCGCAGCTGGAGATTCTGACAGGGACAACACCAGGATCCTTTCCACAATGGCCTAGTAGCATGTTATTTCCCACCAGCGCCACCGCCTCCTTGGCCCTGGCTACACATCTCTCTTTGGTTGTCTGTTTCCAAACTGCACACCAGCCAAGTAGTTTCTTCCTTCTGCTTCAAATTGTACTTCATCAGGACGCTCTGCTACCATCAGAGACACCATGATTCAGGCTGGACTCAAGATGGAATCATTTCCTCTTCCTCTCATCCCCATTTTCTTTCACTTGGTTGACATTAACTCTTTAACTCACCACTAGCAGAAGGAATAGCTCCCCTCCTCTGCCCACCTCCTGTTGAGGCCTCATGAGCCCAACCTCCATGACAGTTTTGTCTTCCAGGTTCTAATGATGCTAACAGTCTACAGACCTCACTGAAAGTCGAGGAGAACTCTTGGACTGGATGGCTTGGTTCTCAAATAACAGTGTAGCAGCATAGCTGGTTGTCATTAGCACTAGACATAAGAAAGAAAGAAAGAAAGAAAGAAAGAAAGAAAGAAAGAAAGAAGAAGACAAGAAGAAAGAAGAAACGAAGGAAGGAAAGAAGGAAGAAAATTGAACACCTTAACCATTTTTTTCTGTAGTGTTAAACTGACAATCTAGATGAGTAAATGAATTAATGATAGATGAATGAAGAGCTGACAGGCTGGCATAAATTCCTGGTTCTGGTTCTGTAACAAGAAAAATAATCATTTGATACTTTTCCTTAGAAGTGTTAGCACTCTTAAAAATATTAACCATCCTATGATTATGGTGTGCAATAAGTTCAGGCTCCTGTGAGGAAAGGGGTTCCTAGCATAAGCTGGGATGAAATGCCTGCCAGGGCAGAACTACCAATGCCTCTACTGGGTGCAGCTCTCTTCACCTGAAGCCTCATTTCCTTAGCAGCTATGTGGATGGAGCTGTCATTGGGGGAATGTGAAGGCAGCTGACGTTAAGCTGCCATGCAGCCTACATTAAGACTCTGTTTTAGGAGTGAGCTCTAGTCCACAATCATATCTACTTGTTTGTTCCAGGAACAGTTTTATAATTATATTATGTCAGGAACTTCTAACCTTTGACCAATAGCTTTTCTAAATTGAACTGTTGTACTCTAATTTTATCCAATATTTCTCTCATTGTCAAAACAATAGTTTACAAAATATGATTTCCAAAATACTACAGATTAAGACTTTTAAAAACTCTGTGACCTCAGTCAAGAGGCTTAACATCTGGTCATGTTTTCTTCCTTTTTGAACTTTTTAAAAATATCCATATAGTTAATATTTAATTTATTCTATTTAATTTTTACATAAAGCAATATACACATTTTACCATTCTGTTAAATACCATTACAATCACCATGTCAATGATGTCTAATATTATTTTAAAAGTAGAAAACCCTTTTAAATCCTAGTCAGACTTAAGCTTATTTTAGCAACAGTCCAGCAGGCTACAATTAAAATCACAAAATATACTTAGAAAATGTTAATCACAGGTCAGCAAATATTTTATGTTAAGAACCACCAGTAAACATTTGGGGGCCTTAAAACTACTGATCCCAGTGTTACAGGTGCCAGGAGGCCAAGGCAAGAGTGCTAGTGTATGGGCACAACTGCACTCCACTGCAGCTAGGCAGTGTGCCGTGCATGAGCATGGCCTCACTCCATTGTAATTAGACATATGGGAATGGCTATTTCCACAGTGTGCAAAGGCTTGTGTAAGGGCACATTCCACGACAACTGTACAGTGTGCTAAGGCATGGGCGTGGCTGCCTTCCACTGTAACTAAAGAATATAAAAATATAGGATATGGGTGAGGCTGAATTTGGGTGCTGGATTTAGGAAACTGAATTCAAACTTTATATGTGCCAAAAATGTTCTTTTGCTATGATTTTTGTCATTGAAAACATAGACGCTATGCAAAGGTCTCAGGATATACAAGAGGGGGTGATGACATTTGACTGGAAATGCAGACCCACTTGCCTGAGCTGGGAAAACTTGTCTGAACATATGTACGCACTTTTCCCATAAGAAATGACAAGTAATTTTCATCAGATGCTAAAATAACTTAAAATAAAATTTACCATAAACCGTTTTGAACACTATACAGAAATGTACTCTGTCTACTGTGCATGCCTATTAAAATGCATGTTCACACTCATTCATGATGGTATTCATTTGACATAAACATTTGTAAGACATTGATTAGTAGGTTTGAATTCCTTTATAAATGAAAAACTGAATACCTCAGATTCCAAATCTCTAATACATTATGCCTAAAGAAAAATTAAGTTAAACTCCAAAATATTTAAAACATAAATTGATTTTCCCCAAGATTGGCCATTGGAATATGCAATGTTTAATTTGTTCTTTTTGATTGCCTGGTAGCTCATGATTGCCTAGTGGTTGACATTCTTAATCTCAGCACACCACAGGCAGAGGCAGGTGGATCTCTGGTCTGGAGATTCTGGTCTGCATGTTGAGTCACAGGCCAGCCAGGGCTGCATAGTGAGACCCTGCTCCCCCACCAAAAAATTTTAATTCTTCTTTAGGAAAAGTGAAATTTTTTTGGTGCTTTGGGTTACCCATTACAATGCCAAGTATAAAAAAAGAGACTAAATCATGCCCCCTCACTTAGTATTTAGGTTAAAAAAGCATAAATATAATAATTCTATACTCTTCATTCTTCCCCTTTCTCAAACATGTACAAAGTTAGGAAACAGGGAAATCACCTCTTTTACAGTGTAAATGCAGGCTTAAATCTTGACTTAATCATGTGCTTGTCTTTTAGGGCTTATGAAACAATCGAAGTTAGACACAACTATAATATGTGAATCAGTGGATTGCCAAAATTATTATTGTTAAAGCTGTCTTAAGAGAGCACAACTTATGTGAGAGGAGGATCTCCCCCTGCCTGAACTGCACTTTTACCAGTGGGCAGACACCAGCAGAACAGCTTCATAACCTGGGAGGTGCTGAGGGTGGGTGGAGCACCTTCATAACCTGGGAGGTGTTGAGGGCGGGTGGAGCACCTTTATAACCTGGCAGGAGCACAGGGTGGGTGGAGCACCTTCATAACCTGAGAGGAGCTTGGGGCAGGTGGAGTGCCTTTATAACCTGGGAGGTGCTGAGGACTCCTTCCAGGAAAGGCAGCCGACTCTCCAGCAGAGTAAATGAGCAGTGCTCCAAGTGGGAGCACCCCTTCCCAGTGATTTATAGATGAAGTGATGGTGAGGGATAGAACAAGTAAACTGAGGGTGGGAAATTCTATCCTTGGCGCTTCCAAATGAGAGGAACTCGTGCAACAGGAGAGGGATAAAGCTTTCTCATAGGACCTCTATGTCAAATAATGCAGCCTGCATCTGTCTTCAATATTAGTCAAACATGAAAAGTGTTGAAATGATGAGAAAGATAAAAATTTTAGTTGACCTATCATGGATCTGCTTTCTCAATAC